TCCTAAGGAACGAGAAGGGCGGTCACAGAACACCATGACCCTGTGTGTTCCATGCTGCAGATGTACTAACATGTGGGCCCAAAGAACTCACCATGTTCTGGGAATTCAACTTCAGTGACTGGGGCTTGAATGTGGCTTAAGTGAAAGGTAAAGCAAAGCTAAAAGTGTAGACAGAAACAAGGTCGGGAAGAGAGTTACAGGAGATCCTGAAGCGTTTCATTTTAGCTAGACGACAATAAGGGGACATCGTCAGTCTCTCTGTCTGAAGTACTTGAACTCTAGAATTTATCTTCAACAATATAAAGAAGCTCCCTTTGAGGACTGTAGTTTAGATTGAAGAAAGAGACTTAAAAGGAGATCATGCTAGTATTGAGAACCAAGGTGAGGACATGCATTAGAGAGATGCTTAGAAGACAGAATTAATAGTGTTTGGCCACTAATTAAATGAAAAGAGTTGGGGGAAATAATTTTCTAGGATGACTGAAAAATATTTGGCTTAAATCATAAGGGATTAGTGGTTCTTTCCCCTGAGACAGTAGATGCTTGGTAGGGGTGAGGGACATGCACTGGGTAAAACTGATGAGCCCAGCTTGGGTTGAGACTGAGGACGGAGGGGATACCGATGTGGAGATGCCTTTGTGGGCAGTTCAGTGTACTGGTCCGCAGTTGAAGTCTAGGTGAAACTGTGGTCCTATAACTAATACTCAGAAGCTCAGTAAAGACCTAGAAATGAATTCCGTTACATAGTAAGTGGGCAAAAGGGATGAGAAAAGGTTGGGAACACCTCCAGGGAACCACTAACAGTGAAAAGAAAGCAGAGGAATGAATTGATAGAAGGACGCTGTACTGGAAAAAATGGATGGAAACAGGAGATAGTTCTTGAATTCAAAAAGGCCAAAGGGGCCATAGTTACATCACAGAGAGTGAATATGACAATTTAGGGCATTAGAATGCTGGAGAACAAAATATTGGAGTTTAATAAATCTGACATAGATTGGTTCTGGGTGATGGGCTTCCTGGACATCCTTGACTCTGTCACAGTGTGCAAAGTCCCCTTAGCAGCTGATTTCTACAATATGTGTCAGAATTGCTTTTGGCACTGGGGTCTCAAGGTGGATGAGACACACTTCCTAATAGACTAGCAGGACAGAATAAATCTAGGCCATTAAGTAAATGTGTACTGTGACAACGTGGCCGGAGCCAGGGGCACAATTTCCACATGTGTTGACTCTGCAGAGATCCTATGAAAATCCCAGCTTCAACTCTATGTGACTTATTCAATCGGATGTACTTTTTTCCTAAGACTCAATTTTATTCATCCACAAGATGGGAGAGTTGTTTTAAGACAGGATATCATTAATCACTTAACCTTCGAAGAGACAATTGCTTTGTGGGGTCCTTTAACACATCTTGTGCTTTTGCTGCTTAGAAGATAAGGGACATGGTCTGTAGAATGAATCTGAGAGATCTGTTCTTTGCAGATTTGGATCTGAGCTACAGTAGCAGCCACAGGATGGCTGCCTGAGCCCAAACAGGAATAGGAGAAAGCAAAGCTGAGAGCGAGCCTTGTTCAGGGACATTGCTAGTGTGCAGGAGTACCTGGCCCCAAATGCTGGGCAAACCAAGGCCCCCTACTGCCTACCACATTAGCTACTAAAATAAAAATACCACCATGCAGAGTGAGGGCCCAATTCTTTACCTGTTCCATTTTACTTCCCAGCTTCATCTGCCTGCTCTAAACTCCCAAAGCTGCACAATTTCCATTACAAATGTGTCTGAACTCACATAACCCTGAGTGGCTTCCAAGAAGCTCGCACTGCAACTAAAGCTGCCGGGCTCTGCAGGATCCAGAGCTGTTATTTCATTAGGTGATCACAGGGAGTAGCCTTGGCTCCAGTTTGTAAGGCCAGCGCTTCAAAGTCTCATCCACCAGGCTGCATTAGTTGTGCTCTGTGGAACGTGCGGAGCAAGGCAATAGCATGCCCAGAGCCCGCTGCTCTGTCCTTCGCCATGTACTGCTCAGCTCTCAGACTAAGGCCTTGGTGCCATTTCACTTATTAGGTGACACTGTCAGCAAAGGAAGAGGATGCAAATTAAAAGGACCAAACTTCTGATCATTCTATTATCCCAACCCCAGGAATGCAACTCGAAGCCACACTATATCTTTAAGCTACAAAAATGCCTTACATGTGCATCAGCTCAATTTAATATATTCTTTTCTTTATGAAATAAGCTTTTTTGATGTGACATGTCCTCAGTTCCATATTTACCTGTTCAATGGCAATAGCATGTAGAACATAAACCGTGTTCTGGACTTGAAGCACAGCTTGCAAACCTTCAGCAGGAATAATTTCTGTGTTTCCAGACAAAGTTCATTTCATTAACCAGATTTACAACTCAGTATTAAATCTTTTTCATCCTTATCCCATTGATTTAGAATTAGCATGAGATTAAATGTCAAAAGGAGAGGGAGTTTATAATTCTCTATGTCGGTTAACAACTCATTTAAACTGTATTCAATTTAATCTGTAAAAGGGAGTGAGTCCCTCCAGCTAGCCCTGGATTTTGATTGCTCTTCAAAAAGATGTGTAAGCGCGTGGCTCAGGGCCAAGCACTTACCTTGCATGCCTGAACTGGGCTCAGTCCTAACATCAAAAATGGGGAGAATTCAGAGAACAGATTTAAAAAAACAAAGAGAGTAGAAAATAGAAAAAAAAAAATTAGAAATGATACAGAATTTCACTAAACAAAATAATAGGAATTCAACAATAGTTGTTATATTGCATTTTGCTGTCTTCAAATTTGTTGTCCAAATTACCAGATATAAGCATGCAGAATTGTTGAAAATAAAAATTAAAAAGAAGAAAGATAATTTAGGCATTAGCTGTTCCTTTCAGTAGACCAGTAGAAATTCGTAGTTATCCAAACTATCTTGTGTTTATGCATATATAGATATATATTTTCCCTCCTTTCTTTCTGTTCTTGTTTCCCTCACCTCAGTTGTTACTTCCCATTGAACAAATTCCTTCCTTTGAATATCTATTATAACCTTCAGATTTTATTTAGGTTCTTACATTAGTGAGACAATATGATGTTTATACATGTGGGTATGATATATTTCACATATGAATATGGTCTGTAGTTGTATCCATCTGCATATAAAGGCCTTAAGTTTTATCCTTCTTTATAACTGAATAATATTTCATTGTGTAAAAATACCACATCAGTTTTTTTAACCTATTCCTCAGCAGATAGGCATTTGGGTTGTTCCCAAGACTTAGCCATGACAAATTGCATTGCTATAAACATAAGGTGCACATATTGCTGTGATATGATGTTTTCAGTTCTTCTGAAAAGATACCTGGAAGTACAATAGCTGGATCGAATGGGGACTCTGACTATAGTTTTTTGAGCAATCCACAGTGTTCTCCACAGTGACTGTACCAGTCTACATTCCCACCTGCAGTGAAGAAGGGTTCCTTTTTCCCCACAACTCTTCCAGCATTTGTTAGTGGTTGATTTCTTCATGTTAGCCTTTCTTTCTGGGGTGAGAAGGAATCTCAGTGTTGTTTGAATTTGCATTTCTCCATTGACCAATGATTTTACTACCAGCAAGGGGGGCAGCTTGGGCTGCACTGGAGAGGAGCAGTGGGCTTTTAAAATGCAATATTGTTTAATGAGTCACCATCCAAAGATACAAAAGAAAAGAATGTTTTCTAAATGAGAGAGCCAAAATTTTAGAACTTGCTAATTAATATATATTTTTGGTAAAATAAACAATGTCATCACGATATATGAAATCAAGAATCATTGTCACTGTATTTGTTCTACTAATAAAAACCCCTCAGGTAAGGGCAAGCCCCACAGAGCTGTCCAACTGTCCTGTGTCTTTTCTAGGCTGTACAAGCTCTGCGAACCACCTCCCCCAGCTGGAGAAGAATGACGTGAGCTGCCAAAGAACCAGGCAAGCAGAAGCCTCTTAACACTGGCCTGGACAAAGTACATGCTGGTTCAACATTTCCTGCTGAAGCTAAAGTAATGCGTTTTCATTCCTCTCATGTTGTAAATAACTAATGTTCACTTTGTATTTGGACATGTATGCTGGAAATGTTCATTCAAATACTTCACCCCCCACTGATCTCTCTCTGTACAGGCATTAAATATTAATTTATATAACAAAATTCATCTCTGGAATTTATAGAAAAGATATCAGAGATAAAAAAAATAACTACCATGCATCCTCTTCCATCCAGCAATTTTATTGTGTTTGGCACATTGAAATAATGGATACTTTTGCTTGAAGAAGTAGTCACTGTGGAAAGATGGCCACACTACAAATCATAGTGCAGATGTGTTAAGGACAATACACATGCGGATACAGGTATTTTGTGCCCCACGTGCATTAGAGGAAAGCAGATGTGTGGAGGTGGAGAAGCAGGCTTTGCTTTTTCTGCTTCATAGGAGTGAAGAAGAGATATTGAAACCTCTAGCAA